TGCATATGACCACATGCGCGTCCACGCCAGTATTCTATGCTCCGCGAGCGTTCGGTTCGCCGTGTTAGTTCCACACCGCAGGAGTCGTCGTTCAAAGAAACTGTATGGAGAAATAATCGTCAGTACCTAGCAATGGCGACACTTGCAAGCTAAAGCCCCTCGATGTGTTTGTGTTTGTCTTGCAAGTAGCGTCAAATGCGCCAGTGCACGAGGCTCGTGTCTCGAGCGGCCCTTGGAAGCAAATGGCGGAGCAGCACTGAAATGAACGGCTCTTGGAAGCGAATGGCGGCGGAGCACTCGCTCGTGGCACGTGTCTCGCGCGTTCCTACAACAATGGTTGGCGGTACTTGAAAGCGTGAATTTTATCAAGGGACTTTATTGCAAGCTATGTATAGTATTCACTGGCGGCCGAAGCTGTGTGCGCGACTGCTGAGCGCGTGCTGACGACGAGCTTGGACACTTCTTTTGCAACATGCATTCCACACCATCAAGATTGACGGTCTTAGCAGCCTATTAATGTGGGCTCGTTCTGAGCATGCGCTCTAAACAGCGCCCTCAATTATGGCGTCCAGGGGGGGATCGGTGGCCGAGTGGGCTAAAGTGCACACCCAGCTCGACGCGCATGGAGCGAAACCTCGCGCTGCAGAACCCAGGGATCCTGGGTTCGAGCCCCACCCCTGCCCGTTTCGATCTGGATGAGCAACGTACCGGCGTGCCGTCGTGTATCACTACTGCGTGGTGCACGTGCAAGACCCCAGGCTAGCGGTTCTACTGCACTGGCTATATTGCTCATCTACAGCGTGTAACTCGTCGCAACTTTAAATGGCTGACCAACTACACGCTGTATAAATATCCCCATAACCAAATATGGCGTCCAGAGAATACTCCCCATGCAGGGCGTTTTCGTTTTAATCTTTTCAGCTTAACTGTTAAAAAATAAAAAAAGCCGTGAGAGCTACACTAATGCAGTTTGTGCAGGTGAGTTATACGGCCAGGGAGACACAGCATAGGAGCTAATCGTAACGCTCAGTCTGCTAATTATTTAAAATCTGTTAATTAACGTTCCAAATATTGAAAATAAACATATGGTTCTAATAAGAAACTTGCTAAGCATCACCGACAACCACCAACTCAGTCCATTATGAAGACTTGGAGCACCGGGGTAGCACGGTGGAGTACTAAAGTTACCACCCCTGCAACAGTAGCAAGGCTACCTCTGTGAAGACGTGCTCCCTCGGTTTTTCCAGCTCTTATCATCCCCAGCCAGGCTGCCAACACGGAAAATCACAATTTCCCTAGCGGACGCCTGAAGGTTTCTTATTTCTGCCGAAATTACCCTCGCTTGCCCAAATATTTATATAATACTAAATAATTCTTGATTTCTGCATCGCTTCCATTTTTACTGTGCGTACGTTTCGCAATAAATAAGTTTATCAGGCCAAAACCGTGGCCAAAGCAAATCTGGCAAAGGGAAATGTTACCGCGAGATTCAAAGTGACGGATGAAACCCTATTTTCGGTTTAGATGTTATGCAACTGGACGAAGAAAGCGTCTTTGGGACGCATGAAGAAGGTTGTTTTCTTTCTTTCTTTCTTTTGACTGAGTTTTTGAATTTGGGGTTTTTCGGATAAATCCGAATTAGAAATATTTTTACCGGCGCGTGTTTTTCGGATTTTATCTGATTTATCTGAAAACGCAGAACCTTACGTATAAGATAACTCACCTGCACAAGCCGAATTAGTGTAGCTTTCACGGCTTTTAATGCGTTAGCATTAGGACGCTCGTTTTGACGAAAACCCGGCGGTGTCTTTCGGTTGTCATTTGTCGCGCGCGACGCTCCCATTGGTGCGAAGCGCTGACGTCAGCACGCGTCAGCCTCTCCCTCTTTCCCCGGCGCTGACAAACTGACAGACACCGCCGGGTTTTTGTACTTCGCGGTTTTCCGCCGTTCATGTTGGAACAAAACAAATAAATCTGATGACCAGAAGTTTTCGTGAATTCAATCCAAAGTGCTTCCGCCCAAGCAATCGTGGTCCGACGGCGTCTGGTTTTCCCTTTTCGCGGCACATATCCACCTTCTCGGACGAACCGAGCACATGAAAACTGACCTTCAAATCTTTCTCGATTCTTCTGGTACAGCGCCAGTCGCGGCGTTTTGACGAGAAGGCAGGTTTTTGTGTGGTTCCTTTCAAAACAACACAGGAATACACGTCTCGCATGGGGACTTCTGCCCACAGCCCCAGACCGGAATTGCGACCGACGCGCCACCACCGCGCCGTGACGTAACAGAGTACTACATTTTAAGGTTTGGCCAGTGACCAGCTCAGCATTTATTAGGGTTCTAAGTATTCGATCTCCTTCCCGGTAGTCTGTCAAAGGGACAACAGTGTTTTCAAGCTCGTGAACATCTCTTACTAAACAGCATTGATACAACTAATAATAATTCGGCGCAGTCGCTAAAACAACATCCAGTAAAACGGCTCCCTAGAAGAAATGTTGTCGCTTCTCTGCATAGCATCACTTAGGACGAGGAGAAACAAGGCAGTTGCTCCACTTTAAAGGGGCGGTGCAACGATATTCAATTGGAATTTTTTTCACTTTACACGAACCATGGTACTATGTACAAAGCCTGCGTCTACTTTCCCGCACAACCCCCTCGGAGAGCCAATCACCACAGCTTACGGAGGCATCTACGCGAATGGCGATGCCGAAACATATGTTTAGACCAAAAATTCAGTCTGAGTTGTGACATTAAGCAATGCAAAACGTCACCAACTCAGACTGCGTTTTTAGGTCTAAATATATGTTAAGGCATCGCCGCCGCTGAGCTGCCTCCATAAGTTCCGGTGATAGGCTCTCCGAGTGTAATGCGGGAAACTAGACGCACGGGTGTTTTTTTAGAGTGTATAGTGGGACTCAAGGATACTCGCACGCAACGTCACTGGCCAAGAAACTCATTGGTTGCGGTTTAATTTCAGGGACAAAAGCGAGCGTTTTCATTCAATCTCTCATTCGCAAAACTTGATGGCATGCTGGGCGGTCGGAGTACTGCCCAGTGACAATATTTGAATTTGGCTCATAGATTGGACCCGAGCATTGCGTGGGCATTCGATTTGGGCTCGTGGTAATCGATAGCTCGTGAACCATTCGGGTAATGGCCCGTGTCCAATCGCTGCAATGACGACAATAGCCGAACCATAACAACGTCTGGAACTCACCGAGTGCCCTGTGCCTTTCCCTGTGGTTTGTGTTGGAGTCCTGGGAAATCAGACAGCGTTTATTTCGAAAGTAACAGCGATTCAACAAGGTTTTTTTGTTTTTAATTCTTTTAAGATACTTCAAACATTTGTGTCAATAGGGCCTCACCCGAGGTCTTTCGTTTCGGAGCAATATGCTCGTCACTACAAAAATAGCACAGAAAAACAAAGTTCTTTCAATAGTCTGACGAACTGTCACCGCGACGAATACGCCTATTGCTCAATTACCCAAGCACCAAGGAGAATGCAGGGATTGGTGTCCCAGAAGCAAATAGCCAAAATAAAACGTTGAAGAAGGCGCGTGCCTGATGCAATATGTTTTAGGCATTTGCTTTAGAAAAAGTACTACCGCTGGGGTTATCACGTGCGGAGCGTGGAACAACAATCCCTGCATTCTCTTTGATGCTTGGGTAATTTAGCGATAGATCTATTGTTCTATGACGAAATGCCCTATGTGACGAACTGCCCTACTACCAACTGACCTACTACGAATTATCTTTCGTCCAACAGTTCTGCCGCCGACTTGTGGCAAACTAACACTTCTTATCTTCGAGGGTACCATAAACAACACAGCAGAAAATTCCCTGAACGCTTACTATCCGTAGTTTATTCTGCAAAATAGGAATGTAATGGATTCCAACGGGACTGTTCAAAAAGCGCGCGCACGAAAGAGGGCGCCGCTAAACTCGATGCGCTCGATTTGCTCCGCAGCGCGGACAACTGAAGTGTACCACGTGATGAATTGCCTGGTGTTCACGTGCTCACGGCCACTGCTCACGGCGTTAATAACGTTGGTCACAGCGGCCGGTTGTTGGCCTGCTACTCGCTAGCTTCAACCGCGAAATGCTAGAAATTTGTAGATTTGCATAAATTTGTAATACATACTAAAACAATGCAAAAATCTTCGCAGCAAACAACTTAAGAGCCTTGCTTTCAAGCGAGTTATGACGTCAAAGAGTAAGCGCGAGTCAGTTTTGAATTGCCGACGCCAACGTTACGCCATAGAGATCATCCATACTAACTCTAGTGGAAAAGGTCCGCCATTTTCCCATACATTCTGGCTGCCGCAAGCGGCGGATCCTGCCGGCAGACCCTCGGGGTCCCAAACACGATTACATCATCAGAGCAGTTTCGTGAACTTCAACAATCCACGAACTTACCGGTGGAAAGATATTCGCGTTCCTTTCGAAGCTTTCTTTTTGCATAGCGCGCAGATGTACGGCCTCGCGTTAACGCCAAACTAAACCATACACCCGGCTTCGCCGGTGCGACGCGGGTGGGCGCGGTTGAGGAATACGAAACTGCGCAACCATCAGATTTCCGAGATTTCGACCATTTCGACAGAAGGGAAGTTAAGGCAGCGTAATGACTTTATTGCTTTTTATAAGCGTTAGAATAGCTCAGTTATCTATCCTTATCAGAATTTATTTTACAACGTTAAATTATCACTGTTTATATTGCTGAGAGTTTTCACTCTCTCGTGTTCTGTCGCTCTCTTTTGCGATCGTTCACTCGGGACCCCGGGTGTCGGCGCACGGGATTTGCCACTCCTCCTCACCCACCTTTACTCCCCTGCGTTACGCCGACGCGGAAAGCACGCAAGGTCAATGCGCAAGGTGCCAGGCGCCAGGAGACGAAACCGAAACCTTTACTCCGCGGAGTCGGCTCGAGTCGATCGAGTTGGTTACTACAGAGAGAGGTAATCGAACACCACCTGCAGAGCCTGGAACGTAATACGTAATCCAATCCAATCCGCAGAAACTGTTATGTAGGCGTCGGACGATGGAGGCATTCCCGCCGGAGTTATTGGCCAAAATCTTCGGGTTCCTTCCAGGCAAGGAAATCGGCAGGGCTGCCCAAGTGTGCAGGCGCTTCTACGAAGCAAGCCAGGTGGAATACGTCTGGCGAACACGGTGTGCCGAGGGTGAGAGCGACCGCCTTCGACGGATCACTGCTGCGCCTTCTCGCAGTGGTCGCGCTGTCACTGAGCGCGACTCGTGTATCAGCGGCAGCTGTACGGGGAGTTTAAAGCAGGAAGCTTCACGTGCGCGGCGCAGTTGTAATCCTTCGTGCGTTGTTTTTCCAGATTTACCGTTCGAACTGGCATGAGTCGTCTTCCAGACAGGAGCTCTAGAAGCGATTCTGAACTGTTCCTCTTCGTCGTTTCCTGTATATGGTCGTAAAGCTCAGCGGATACATTGATTGCACGCGGATTGCTTTCCGCACAAGTCTACCGCGTTGAAAACAGACATATCATGCAGAGCGCGACGCAGTATACGCCAACCCCGCTTTTCCTCGCTTTTTTTTCGCAAACCTGATATGTTGTCATCGGACCCACCATGCTTTGGCCGCGCGTGCGACGAAGTGTTATTAAAGGCGGAAAGCTCGCGCTCTAGAGGCGGTGCAGCTACCGACGGTAGACCGTACGAGCAAAAAAGAGGGAGGGAAAACGTAATTACTGTGTTCGCTGCACGCATCGAGCGAGCGAGCGAGCTCCAGGCATAATAATTTGATAAATATATTTATTTAGTTTCAGATCCGAAGGTTACCCTTGGTGGCTTGCGAGGCTGTGCAGGAAGTTTAAAACCCATGCACGAGTGTGCCTGCCAGCCCGCCACTTACAATCTTAATCAAAATGTGCATAAAAACAACACGCGAAAGAAAACAAAAAGGAAAAAGTGACACACACGGAATAAGAAGGTAGTGTACGTTGGCAGACACCGTCACTACTGTGGCAGATACCTAACAAATGGGCGACAGAATGCCGCAAGGTCAGTTTGGTGCAGAATGCATACTCAGTATCCGCACATTGAAACATCCAATGTGCCCTTTCTATGATTGTACCATGGAGCTCCAAAGCAAGAGAAATCCGAATTCTACAACTCCACGGAAAACCTTTATTTCGAAGCTATGGTAAATTTTGGTTTTGCATCGATTAAACTAGGTGCCTTTCGGACAAATGGAGACTGGAAAACCGGAGGATTTTCTCCCAAAGATTGAAGTTCCGTGCATGCTGCTGTCTTCACAAGGTGACAAAACAGCATGCCTGTAATGTAACAGCACGTCATTACAGTGTGTCGCTATACTGCGCTTCTAAGCTGACAGTGCGGTGGAAGCCACATGCTTGTTAAACCAGTTGTACATCTATTTTTCGCCACATAATCGCGCTCCTACTTGTACCAACGCACAGATAGCGAAGTCAAGCGATAAAAGGAAAATAATTGATTGGTCCGGTGAGCACTAAGCTCCCACCGCAGTGTCAGCATAGGGGTGAACGGAGAATTGGAAGTCGCCCAGCTTTTTTTCATTCTTCCTAGTTTCTTAACTCTGCACTGAGAGTGTAGCTACTCATCCCTTATCTTACACATGCTATGTCTCATCAGTGAAAGAGTGTCTAGAATGTAATGTCCAACCTTGGACTCTCGGGTGTTCGCAGAGTTCTCCATCAAGGTCAAGCACGTGGGCGATTTCTCCTTCAGGGATGTTTACGCCAAGTGTAAGTTCTTTCACTTCCCTGTGCGCTGACTGATCGAAGGAACGACATGGTTTGATTCCCCAAATCTGTCTTGGGGCTTTTGAAGCCAGGTCACTCGCAGGATAGCTTACCTGCCGCTAAGCCTTGCATATCTTGCACCAACTTCTCTTGCTGGCCGGACAGAGAACAGCCATGGGTTGATGCCAAAAGACAGAATCGTATCTTAACACCCATGATCGAGCCTTCATTCATAGTGGTGCTTGCTGAACGGAAGTTGCATGTATTCCTGTAATGTCTATCCATTTACGAACTTGTCACGGGCGTATCCATAAATGCTTCTCAACATTGGTGATGCGTTTCTTAATAATATTGCAGCAATCATCATTTGTGTCGGAAACTGTAAGCTTGTTCACAAAGTAGCATCTTCTTTCGAGTGATTTGATGCTTCTGACTTGCAACTCACCGTCAGCCCGTGACTGCTTTTTTACCTGTACGCTGATGAGCTGTTCACTAAATCTAGGCCTGTCTTTGAGTACTCAACCTTATGTAATAAAATGAGAAAATTAGCGCAAATACAAGGAAGGAAGAAAGAACGTTAGGACAGGAAAGAGCGCTACTTACAACTGGCTTTAATTATAAGGTGAAAAAAGAAGAAAAAGAAAACAAAACCCTGAGAGGGGAACAAGGTACTGACAAAAAAGAAGTGATACAGAGAGCGAAAATAATTAAGGTGAAAATACAAATTAAAATAATAAAATAATAAAATAGAATAAAATAAAATAAAATAAAATAAAATAAAATAAAGGCAGATCTGCAGAATCGCATCGGCAAATGCGCAGGCAGCAGCACTAGCAGCACACACACGAGACACCGGCAAACCCTTTGCGAGCATGAAGAGGCGAACTGCTGCCGGTGACTATCCCGCAGGTCTATTGGTCACACATGAGTCACTTGCAGTAGCCGCCCACACACACACACGGGACACTGGCAAATTCTTCCAGCATGAAGTGGCGACATTGTTGCCGGTAACCAAGCGGCAGGACGCAAATATCAGGGGCACGTGTCGAGGTATCTCAGCTCTTTCTCTGAAAGGAAGACTGACGGGGCACTAACACATTTGCTTTCTTCTTTCTTGATCTTGTACGCTTCATAGATTTCTCTAGCTCTTTTGTCATTGAGATGTTTTAACACCTTCGTCTGATTAAACAAAGGGGTACAATGACAGTCACGAACATGCACCGCAAGATGTCCAGATGGAGAGGCTTTCAGTGAGAGGTCATGCTCTCTCAATCTAACATTGATGCAGCGACCCGACTGCCCCACATAGACCTTTCCACAGGAAAAAGGTACTTCATAAACGACATGACTCTTACAGTCCACGTACTTATGTTGGTGTCTTGTTTGGCATTGAACATTTTCTTCTTTCGTGTTGTTTATTCTTGGGCAAAGTGTTTTGAGCTTGTCCGGTGCTGAAAGTGCTACCTGTACATCATACTTGGAGGCTAGCCCACCAGATGATTTTAATTTTATGTAATAAAATCCCTTGTGCATGCTCTTTTATTTCTAATTTTCTGCAGAGTTTGATCTGCGGTGACCTTGTATCTGCAATTAATTGGCTCTTGCTATTTTGCTTTCTTGCCTGTTGTATTCCCTTTGAATGATTATCATTTTAAATGCTTACACCCCATTTTTTGCCACGCTTAATGGGACATGGAAATGGCGGAGGCTGTGAGGCATGACTTATGCGACTCTTTTAAGTCAATGGGAAGATAATCTGTTTCTTTTTTTGCAGTGCTGCACCGGTACCGCTTCTACCTGGGACTATGGCAGCCACAAGTCTCGTCCTATGGAGGTCTCTTCCAAGTCAAGGTGCCTGTTGACATTCCCCTTGGCAGTCTACCAGAAGACTAATTATTGACACCACAAGCGACGACTTGCGTAGCGGGAAATTTTTTTGCCGAGGAGGAGGAGGAGGAGGAAAGGGCCTTTGACTTGGAAACTTTTCCTCTGTCTTTGCTACTAGTTGGCACAAGTCATGCTAACGGTGCAGTTGGAGCACTAGAGTTCGGGGAAGTGGCCCCACTGTGAAGAGACTGCCTAACCCTCCCTGGCATATCTAAGGTGTCGTCCTCTGGAAAAGGCTTTAAGCATCAAGCATCGAGGACGGAGATCCCCTATACTGAAAGCCACGTCGAGTGCTTGTCTCTACAGCTTGGTTTCTTTCCCGCACCTGCTGCATTCGAATAGAGGCACGCGTTTCTTGCGGAAAAATAAGGCAGTCGATCCCCATTTCCTAAAGCAGTGGTTCTCAAATGGGGGTCCGCGAAGCCCTGTCTCATCAATCAGACCCGTCAATAAAATTTGTCTTTTTAGATTGAGGAGAAACATTCTAATTTTTGGGTGAGTTTTCTCATGTGTATGTCAATGAGAGAAGTATACTTCGTTTGCACTAGCCCTTGGTTTTATGAATTTCTTAAACATTATCATAATTAATCTATACCTTTCCCTTCCCCTCACCACAAACTGGTCCTCGATCGTCTCCGCCGATCCACAAGGGGTTCGGGAAACATCAATGTTTGAGAGCGAAATACGAGCATAAATGACTTTAGCATTTATGCTCGTATTTTTTTATGTTTGAGACAATGATCCTAAGAAGTCCCTAGCCTACTGCCAGAACTAACAGAGGCCCTCTGTTGGACGGGTGCAGTTTGATGTGCAGCTGGTGGCCATTGTGGGGCGGGAGCTGCTGCCCCCCAGGGACCCCCACTTTACGGAGCCGCTGCGGCCAAGGACCCTGTTCCGCATCGGGCTGGACAAACCCCGGGACGTGACCTGCGTGGGCGGCTACGGAGGACCCCACGAGGCGTCCATCAACGAGGTACGGCCGCCGGGGCTTCTCGCACCACTCCGCGGGGAATGTGGAGTGCAAGTTTGTCTGCTTCTTGAGCAAGGGTTGCGGCGACGTCGGAACACGGAGATCCGACGGGCTCCGTTTGTAAGGATAGTGGGTAGACCTCGATGCCAGCTGCCTCGAGGTCTACCCACCGTCCTTCCAATCGAGCTAGTCGGAGCTCGACGTTCTGACGTCACTGAAACCCCTGTGCAAGAAGCGAACAAACTCGCGCTTTGCGGCAGTGCGACGTGGCGTGCATCGCAAGTACGGTGCCGGAAACGCGTCCTCGACTGGTGCGTTTGGTGTCCTATCCCGCCCGTGCGTCGAAAGTAGTCCTCGAGCGGCCGCAAATTGTGTCGTGTTGGAGAACTTGATCTTGGTGTCTAGTTGTAGAAATTGGAGCGGGATGTTTGAGCAGACGCAGGTGCTGCCGTCGTCGTCGTGCCCCCCCAGTGTGGCCAATTTAGGGGTTTTCTTGGCAGGTTTGGCGGTTTTGTGATATGCTGGCGGGAGAAATTTGCTGTTTTGGTGGGATTTCGAGCGGTTTTCAAATCATGTTAACGCGTTTTCTGGTGGTCTAACATGTTCTCCAGTTTGCATTTTTCAATTGTAAATTGCTTAATATATGCAGTAAGTGAGCGGTATGGCATCACGGTTTTTTTGCTTACGCTCAACAACATTGTTTCAGTGACAATAACGCTTGCGCCGCCATTGAGATATTACGGGGCGAATATTGCGACATAGCGTTTGAAGCATGGAGGTATCAAGAAGAGGAGGCGACGCATTGGCTCAAGCCAGCCAAACAAGAAAATCCCAAGGGAAGCGGGAAGTAGAGGATGCAGTCGGTGAGAACACCTGCAAGTGTGACCAAAACCACACCAAAACCGCCCCTGGTGCCAAATCGGTTGTCCTTTCCGTCCATCAGCGTCGTTTGGTTGTTGTCATGGGTGGGGGGGTGTTGCTCCAAATTGGAAGTCTCCCCCGGCTTCAACTCTGGCGCCATCATGTTGCCTCCAGGAGCTTCCACCTCCATGTTTAAAAGAATCGTTCTTGATTGTCCTGACCCTTAAATTTAAGCAGTTTTTAGCTTTTTTTGAGAACTCCTTTGGTGCTTTTTTGTGTTTTTTTTTTTTTTTTAGTTGGTAGCACTGGTCTTGCCCCCTGAACCTTACGTGAACTGTCAAGCTAGAAAGTAATCTGCTGCCGTGCATTCGGCTGGGTCATGGCAGGTAACAGCGCAATATTTCTGCAATGTCATCGGGCGCAAATTGAGGAAGCATATTTGAGGACGCAATTAGTACGCCAATCGGAGATGTGTTCCAGGTACCATACTGCGAGGGAGCCAGGGGCAGTGACAGTACGAACTTTCTCCTTTCTCTTGCAGAGTTCGAGGGACAAGTTCTCCTTCAAGTGCTGCGACTCGAGCCAGCACCGCCACCCTTCGGGAAAGCACCAGGTGGGTGTAGCACCCCCTCTGGACCGGATCCGTGGCCGAGTGGGCAGCGACTTTGCACTCCCGCTTTTGCGGGCACACTATGGAGGCCACTCGAGGGCAGATGGCGAGGGCTTTGCGAGCGTATCGAGCTGTTACAGTGCCACGTGTCACTGTGGCATCACATGACGTCATCATGTCACGTCACATTGTGGCATCATCGAGGCTATGTGCCACGTCCATACGAAAGGTAGTAACCATTTCCATGTTCACGTTCAAAATAATTTTAAATATTATTCTGATGTCCGTCACGCCACTTCTTGAAGATTTGAAACTTTTTTTTAAAATCATTTCGACGTCTCCCGTCAAAATATTTGTTTCTCCCCTTTTAAACATCCGAAACTTACGACTTTGGAGATTTGCTATTCAGACTGGAAAGCGATTGAAAGTTGCGGTCAAAAAAATATCATCTGGCTTGCAGGCGGCGTCGCGGTTCAACGCGCATTTTCCGAAAACAAATGTGCAGTCGACTGCTGTTTTTATGACCTTCTAAGTGATGTAGAATGCAAAAAAACTTCTTCAAAGTAGAACACCAGCTATCAGGTCGCACGTAACGTTTGCTTGGTTTTGCGCAACATTACAGAATGCAGCACCGTTGCTCTTTGTGATTTAGTCATGTGTTTTATAAAGGCAGAGGAGCTAAATGTTGTGTCATAAAATTTGAGGTCGATTGGAAAATGCTTGTATCTGGTACAACCGCGCCAGAACCTTTGGTACCAGTCAAGAAACATTAAGGAGGCAATGTTTGCATTCACCACCTTTCATTTAACATCCCCATCGTTTCGTAGTTAACCCGCTCGTTGTACACGAACCAAAAAGAAAATCTAAACTAAACAACGAACTCGCAAAACCTAATTAAAAGCAAGGCGGGAGCCAGATGGAAAGCGAGACTTTAACCATACAAATATGCGCTCGCACAATGTAGAAATCAAAAAGCGTTCTAAATTTTTCAGTGTTACTTAATGTACGCACTAACATTTGTTATGTGCAGGCAAGACAGAGGGATACCCAGCTCGCCTTTGTTGTAGAATCAAAATTTGAAGTGAGACGAGTGCCGAAATGACGCGCGAGAGCTTGGAACAATGCCGCCGTTTAGCATGTGTCTTGCTAAACTGTTTAGCAAGACACATGCCGAATATGATATTTCCACTGTCAACTAGGACCGAAACTTCTTAGGCACGCAATACACGACCCCGTCAACATGTCAACAGAACGCCGATGAACGTCAACGGCTGCATTGATGAGGGACGTCGAAATAAGAAAGTCGCTGATTTGACGCTTTACGTGACATCGGAGACGTCGAAATAATTTTCTAGATATTTTGGCGGGGGACGTTGAAATAGTCACTGCCTACACAAAATTTCCGAGGCGCCGTCCCTATAAATGCTACGCGTTTAAAGCATTCCAACTGCGCATTCTTGCGCTGCAGCCGCGGTGTTTCTGTGCAACGCGAAACGAGCTTGTTGGAGGCGTGCGAGAGTCGCCAGAGAAACGAGCCGCGCGCGGGCGCTCTGCGCAGGAGCTGCGAGATTGGCTGCACGAGGAGGCCTCGGTGTCCCTGGACATGCACCAGTTCCCCCACAGCCAGGAGCTGCTGCTGATGAAGTTCCTCATCCTGCGGCAGTACGAGTGAGTGCGTGCGAGAGGGGCCTCTGCCCGGGGAGCACATTTGGATAGAGTAAATTGGTGTGTGTGTGTTTATACAGCCTGAACTTGGTCTGCCTCGATGGGCGACTTCTCTCTCAGCTGTAGATGAGAAATTTAGCCAGTTTGGTACGAGCACTGGTCCGGGGTCTATAACATGCATCACGCAGTAGTGATACACAACCGCACGCCGGTACGATGCCCAACCAGATCGAAACGGGCACGTGTGGGGATTGAACCCAGCATGCTTGGTTTTGCGGCGCGTGCTATCGCTCCACGTGCTCCGAGCTGGTGTGCGCTACCCCACTCGGCCATCGATCCTTCCGCACGTCTGGAAAAGCTTGCCAAAGTAGACGGTGCAAGGCACATCCTGTTTGCTGGTTCCCGAAAGCGACATTCTGCTTGCGCGTGGGGCCAGGTAGCTAACTAGGTAAATTTAGGACTTGTAACGGAAACATTTTAACCACAAAAAGGCAAAAAGAAATTTAATTTGTTTTTTTACTTTTACAAGAAGAAAGGGAAGAGGAGAAAAAGCTGTATAAGAACTGCTTAACAGCCCCCCCCCCCCCCCCCCCCCTTTCCTTACAGCAACAGCAGAACCAGCACTTTACTTGCACAAAGGAAAACCGCAAGAATACTTGCACAAAGAAAAACCGCAAGAAACAAGAAAATGTAAAAGCGAGAAAAAACAAAAAAGTTTTGTATATACAGTAGAAAAAGTGCTACAGTAATTAGCTCGACAAGACGAGCAACGAGCGTTTATTTTTTGCGAGAAACACTGTCTATGTCAGTTTCTAATGACAAAATAAAATTTAGTATTTTGGGGAGCTACTCATCTGACTTCTGTAGTTTGTCCCGCTTTGGGGGACCATCCAGGCACAGGCATGGCGTATGGAATACGAAGGACGTTTTATTTGAAGAGAAGGAAGAGGAAATACAACCAGAGAACATTGTAGAAACACATTATTTATCGATGAAGCAAAACATAGTTACAGAAACGCTTCAGATGCTAGAAAAACACTTCATATATCGAGGGAGGGAAACATAATCGTTCTGTCGGATTCTACGGTTGCGGAGCGGTAGTGTCGCGACGTCCGTGAAAATGCACCGATCGGGGCGGCGAAATCGGCCCTTTTGACTCGCTCTACGAGCTTTTCGGAATGTGGGGAACGGGAAGGTGGCTGACAGACCGGGGTGGCGGGGCTCCGCAGCTACTCGTTCCAGTACCGGCGGGTGCGGCTGCAGGAGTCCCCCCCGGGTGTGCCCATCCGGCCCGGCATCTTCGTGGGCACCTACGGCACCCACGGCCTGGAGCTGGTGCAGCTCGAATACCTCGACGGGGCCTCCAAGCTCAGGGCCGTCAAACTCTCGGTGGGTCTCCAGCCTGGTTTGCAGGCCTCTCTGCAAGGCGGGACTTCTGAACCGTACGCGGCGTAGCGCGATCTGTTAAGACCAGTCTTGCTCGTGTTACTTAAAAAAAGTCATTGATTACAATTACTCTCTTTTACTGACACCCCCCAAATATTTTTTTTTTTGCCAAACAATATTTTATGGTGTGTGAAGACTATTCAATCAATATTTTGCCACAGCATCGCATATATCTTCAATAAAGTAAAAAAACGCAACTGCTTGAAAGTGAAATTGAAATATGACTGCAGAGGGTCACGTGGCTCTGATACTTTTTTTTCTCCCATCAACGTATTTGCAGCTTTTTAGAAGCCACAAAAAAATGGGTACTATCATACTTTTTGTCCATTTCTAGTATTCAGTGTGTGCCTCTGATGACCCACAACTTTGATTATATTTGGGGGTTGTGTCTAAACTATAGAAAACGGCTCGTGACCATAGAGAAGAGAGTGAGCGCGACTGGAACCGGCCAGTTCTCGGTCGGCGATTTTCGGGCGGAAGGAAAACGAATTTCGAGCCGCAAATCGTGTTCTGGGAAGTTGGGCTCTCATATGTCATGTACAAATAAAATCTTGGCGAGCATAAATACCCTGCCAGTGTCCCTTTAAAAGGTATTCAGTTGGTTTACTCGAGAGGAAAAGTGATTAGGGAGTTTTAGAATTACGTATGCAATTTTAGCACGTGCTGTCGCCAAATTTAGCACTTGCTTTAGCGCGTGCTACGCGAGAGAGTTTTAAATAGCGTTCCTCCACCACAACACAAAAGGCCAAGCATCTCGCGCTTGCAGCGCCAGCAAGATACAGTCACAATTTTTATTTTAGACACAAAATGCTGTAACTTAAGTAACTCCTTCCTGACCACGTTAAAAGTAGCAGTTTTCATAGGTTCCATGCAAACACTTTTATTTTACTAACTTTCGTATGGAGCAATATGATACATCAAAATGTGCCCAATTAGCTGTCCTTTTAAAAGAAACCATGGTCTGTAGAATGTGAAAAAAAAGATACAGTCTAAGCTCGTTATAACAGACCTGGTTACAACAGACATTTGGGTATAACATACCGATTTGTGAAGTTCAATTGGTTTTTCTCTATGTTCCATTGACTCAACTTCATATCTGCATACAACATACTCCTTTTACAACAGACCAAAATCTTGGTCAAAATCAAGGTCTCTTATAACGAGCTTAGACTGTAATAAAATTTTATTTCTTGAAAATGAAATGTATGTGCGGAAGGCGTATAAATGCCGAAAGTTCTACAGCTATGTCAAATTAAATGACAAATAATTCGGAATATAGAAAATATGCCCCACACCCATGGCTATTACTTCTGAAAGTTAGTGTACTCTAACTTACGTTGTGTATTTTCGGTTTGTCGGAGAGTTAGCCTCCGTAACACGTGTGGTTTTCAATGAAGAAATGCTTATATTGCTGAAGCACGGATAGTACACCTCGCATCCCCAGCAGAATGCTTTCTTTGTGTCCTACCTTGCTTTTGTCATAGCCTCGATTGCAGTTTCCTCATACCTAGAACTTTTGTGCGCCTTCTTGGCGACATAAAACGTGCACGCCGGCTCCGGACAGCCTTGGAAATTATAGTGATGCTTACCGCCAACCATCTGTTAAGCGACGCCTATAACATAATTTAAAGTGTTGCCAGAGCTCTAGAGGTCTAAAAAAAAGGCCACGATACAATTGAATTTATGCGAATAATGCCATCTTTTTTTCGAAGACTGATGCAAGCTGTCAGCCATGTTGGACAAGTGGAACCACCGTTCCCGGGACTGTTTTTGACAGCCCACCACCTTGTGATAAAGCTTGAACCTACGTTGAAACCGGAGCTAGAGTTCTTCAAACCACGAGATTGTAGAACATGATTTTCCGCAGTAAATTTAATTTCTTGAAGGGGCTTGAAACCCATTGACCACCGGTGATCGTTGGACTATGGGCGCTGTCAAAAGAAAGTTAAGGAAAAAAAAACAAGTTTTTTTTTTTATTTTTTTTTTATTTAGAGTGACACTTATTTGTTCAAATATGAGTGTGACGGGAGCGGACGACCGATCGTGTCTGCTTGCGTGCTGCTCCAAACCGAGCGAAATGTCGTCTTGCATTAAAAATCGCAGTTGCGACGATGCCGCTGACGTCGTGGCTTTAGCCAACTTCTCATTGCGGATCCTCGGAGGAGGAGCGCGAAGTCATAATTTCCGAAAAATGATGCACGCAAGGCGCAAAACGTGGTCATCGTTCGGCGCATGCGCCGGTGCGACGCCGCCGTTCTTTGCGTACACAAAGCTTTTACGTGCGCTATTCTCAAACTGCGTGTTGACCGCTACTCTTACGACTACTTCAGATTTTCAAAATGACAGATTTTTCTACCGGTCCGTAAACGTGCCTTTTGTGCCGTCCGTAATTGGAAAAGAATCGCCGAATTACAAACTACTCATCTTTTCAATGCGCCAATTTCGGTAGACCGTTCTCCCCTCGGAGACACGTTTCGAGGATTCCTCGGCAGGAAACTTGCAGAAACGGAGGATGCCATCGGGGAGGGTACAGAAAACAAAATGGTTAATTAATTTCAGCATTTCCCAAAGTAGTTGGATTACTCTCGCAATCACTTCCTAATAAATTTATTCGAACGATTACCTAATCGCTCCCAAAGTAATCAATTGCGAGTTACTGTAAACAACTTAATTTTTGGAAGGACCTAATTTTCGCGGATCACCTACAATTCGTGAAAAAATGAGTCCCGCAAACAATTCAGTTAAAAGGGAAACACATTGGAATCTAGTATATTGAGATCCCACCGCGTCGCGAAAATTAGAACCTACGAATTATTCCAAATCGCACAATATTGAGCCCGCAAAAAATAAGTCGTTTACAGTATTTGATTACTCATAATGAAAACCGTAGAAGTCTGATTAAGGGGGGGGACGTAGGGGTGGCCCCAACACACTTGGGGCCACCCCTAGGAGCCCAGGGGTGGCCCCAAGTGTGTTCCCCAAACTCCCGAATTTATTAATAAAGAAGCTTGACGGAGTTGGCGGTTCATGCTGTATATAAATAGGGCACAAGGGATGAAAGGGAGGCACTACAAGAAAAAAGAGGTTGTGCCTAAAGATGTTTTTGTAAAATATGTTTCGGCCGAACTGGTATTAATGCCTCCTTATATCTTTCTCCTCCCACATATGTATTCCCCAGGTTTGGTCATCTGTTTAAAGTCAAAGAGAACATGTTTAAATAAGGCTTATTTAAGAACTCGTTTTTTTTGTTAAAACAATAAGTGGTTGGAACTCTTTACCCTTCGAAATTCTAAACACTACAAACAATGATCTGTTGTTTCAAATATTATCCCTACTTCTTCTATCCTTTCTGTGATCTTACAGTTAGTTTGTCTTTTTTGGGGGTATGCACATATTTGGCATGTAGTCATTGTTCTGTTTCAATTTGCCCATTGTGTTTTACTCTAATGTTGGTTTTTGTTTGCTTTTTTTTTCTCCCCCTGCTCTAATGCCACTGGTGCTGCAGGTGTCTGAAATAAGTGAATAAAATAAATAAAAAAGGCAAACAGAGCACTAAATCTTCTCGGCTGTTCCTATCCTCACGTCAAGTATCTTTCCGGGTTGGGCACTATTTTAGCAGATTCGAGCCATCCTTTAATACTTAACTATATGAACTCTGCACATTCTTGTTTGCAGGGTGTACAAGCTCGAAAACTCCCATCTAAAGAAACCGATTTATGAGCTTCTTTCAAAGAGGAAACACACGGTACAGTTTATCTAGTGGGCAACCCCCTCAAGAGCGGATGCCCTTGGGGTGAGAGTCCAGAAAGGGCTGGCGAGGACTTTCCTTGAACAGAGTGACGGCGTGGCAGAGGGGTTGCATCTAAAGCTGTATTCACGTCAGAGAAAAAATCCTGGCGTGCATAGCTCGTGACAAAAACGTCGGGACCTCTGCGACGCAGCGCCACGACGTCGACCCCGCGGTGGAGGGAGGAAGGGATGCTCGAGGGATATAAACAGTCACAGTTTAGGTGTGGATCGGTTTGTTCTTAACTATATTTAGTCAAAAGGCTCGAGACACAGCAACCCAGTACCGTTCGGGTCAGATTACGCGAGCGTTCAGACCCGCCCACCGGTGCGACTGGCCATCTCGTCGAACCCCGTGCCTTGTTTTCTTTTTCGCTCGCCTTCCGAGAGCTTTCTTCTTTCTTCGTCTCGACGTCGTCGCGAGAGGCTTTTGACGCCGCCCTCCCTCCCAGGGGGACCCCAACGTTCCCTGCGGCCAGACCACCTTCGAAGTGGTGCTGCAGTACGGCATGGAGCTGTCCCTGGAGCAGCAGGCGTCGGTGGCCTCCCTGGATGCCCTGGACGTGCGGCCCGGCACGGGGGGACCCCAGCCCTTCCGGGTGCCGGGCGACTGCCACGAGCGCTTCCACCAGCTGCCGCGCTCCTGCGTAGCCAGGTGCGGGAACTGGAACGCGTCTTTGACTGCGGGTGCGCCGACCGCGTCCTCGAAAGTGGTCCTTCGATTTCCGCCAAACGACGTCGTGGAAGTGTCACATTGTCGCCAGCCACATGGCGGGGGGGGTGTGTGTGGCAGACACCCGTTCCGCCGCAGGTCGGTCTCCCTCTGGACGGTCCGCGGAAGCTTGAACGGTCAGGAGTTGGGGCGCCGTGACGACAGTGACTTTTAGGATTGACCGCCAGAACTACGACATCCGACAGCGTTGTATGCCACGACGTCGTTTATTGCTACTTTGGGACCACTTTTGACGTGTGGGCAGTGTAGGATGCTAATCGCGTCGGTCGGAGACGCGTTGGTGGCGCCGTAACGTCGGGGACCGTCTGCCTAGACGGGCGAGAACTGATCCGATTGACGGGGACCTTGCAGGTACCACGGCCTGGGCCAGGTGGCCGGCCACGGCTTCACAAACCCGTCTTTCTCCCGGGGCCACTGGGTGGTCTTCAGCGAAGACCTCTTTGGCTTCCTCTGGCTCGAGCTGCTCTCGCTGAGCATGTACCACCGGGTGCAGGAAGACCTCAGCTGCTGAAGACACGGCCATCCCCCCCACCCTCTTCGTCCGGCTGCAACTATGGAAAGCACCTCTAACACCGGCTTGTCCTTGCCAAGCTTGCCATTTTTTAGGCGTGGAGGTGCACTTAACGGCTGCCGAACTACCTTTTTTGGCGGCAACGCGAAGCGGCGAATCTCTCGAGAGTCCTAAACCCGGTGGCCATGTCGGCCTGGTTTCGTCTACCCACTTGCGGCACACCACTAGTTTCAAGCGACGGAACTCGGCTGATGTGCTGGCACCACGGCCATTAAACGACTAAATTCCGTCGACCAGTAATCGCAGGAACAGCGTACGGCTGAAAGATGTTTTTCCGCATCTGGGGCAGTACGCCAACGAGAGGACTCGTTCAATCTTTTGATCTTTCGTCAAGTCTGTATTCCTGTAGGACGATGCGAGTCGGCTAGCATAATTGTGCGTTTCTGGTCGTGACAAGTGTTGTGACTGTCTGTTCCCTCCTCTTTTCCCAGAGAAAAAAAAAAAAGGAATTAGCTCGAAAGATCGAGCATGTGCCAATACTGCGGCAGGTACCTACCCTTCCCTTCTATTTATTTTTATTATTGCTACACGAAGAAGGCATTTTTTATTTTTATTATTGCTACACGAAAAAGGCAATCTTGCTCGAGCATTTGAGCAGGCGCACTCGTTCGATTTTGGCATGGGATGCTTCCCCACTTTGTTTTGGTACTTGCCTGGTATTTCGTGGCATACGCTGCGTGACGACCTAGGCGTGAATCTGTGGCGAGCGCTGTGAATGGCACGACCTGCCTGCGCAAAGCTCCTAGATTAAGCTTATCTGCGGAGTTGTGCAAGACCAGTGTTTCTGGCAGTGACATTTTTTTCTGTTGTGATTTTACCGTTTAATATATGTTGAAAGCTGACCACTGTTGTCCTTCCATAGCTGAGCGGGGCATCTTCAACATGTGCACTCCGGGATGTGATGGTAAAGCCCAACATATCTTTGTGAATGGCGCACATTGTGCTGCATTGCTATCCAAGTTGTAAATTTACATGGTATCTACATTGGGATCATCTTCACCATCATCATCTGTTTTCCTTGAAGACACAAGAGGGCAATGCACAGAGGGTGAGCATACCTGTATACAAATATACGGGGTCCAGCATCCTTAATTACCATGTAACGTGGGGTCATTAGACCAACTTACTTAAGGGAAAGCACCAGGCGTACAGGCAGTCGCAGATTCAGAAAAGGGGGGGGGGGGGGGGGGGGAGGGGGAGGGGAGGAGGGGAAGGGAAGGGAGGGGAGGGGGGTCCGGATGTTTTGGACCCCCTTTTGAATTCTGCATGTTGACCAACACCTGAACGTGCTTGAGACTCCTCCCCCCCCCCTCTCCCTGGAAATACCTGCATCCGCCCCTGCAAAAAGGTGAGGTTGGAAGGCGCCGCAGAACTCATGTACCATGTGTACCTATCAGTTTTTCTGTTTCAAATGGTATGCAGTGTTTGCATTTAAAATACTAGTATTTTAAAATTGAACTATATTTCAGCTCGTCTACTGCCGCTTATATGGAAAGTGTGGCCTATAAATTAAAAAAAAAAAAGTTCTAAAGAATTTTTTTTTTATTGAAACCGGCGAAAAACTTTAACAACTTGCAGACGTCTGAATCCAATCAAGTACGTGATATTTTCACGTGAGCCCCATGTGGTGGTGATAGCAAAACGCGGGGTTTAATTTCGCTCTGGTTTTTAGTTTGCAATGGATCATTTTGTGGCTAGATGGTTTAAAGATCTCGGTTAAAGTTTGGAGACCGAGAATAGGCCAAATAAAAACCCCATATCAGCCACATCAATCCGCGGGCCAACCAGAAGCTGCAGTAACCACGAAGAGGTGCGTCTCGGCGCGAATTTTTTTGTAAGGTGGCTACGCCCATAATCAACATCGCGCTGCAGTGGCTACTATGGCCCCAGGGTACTGAGCAGTGAACAGGGGGCGCCTGTGTCGACTAAAGCACTGGATAATATTTCGTATCTCATCCAGTGCTTTAGTGTCGGCTGCTAGTCAGCGCGGCTGGTGGCGAAAATGGGCAACTTCGGGAAGGCCTAACCATGGAACGATTAGACGCGAGCTCTGCGTCAGAATTCAGCAGGGCACTCTGACGTTAGAGCTCAAGATCGGGTTTAATTATTGCGGCGCGGTCTAGGGCCACCGTAAGAGTTGCAAAAATCACGCATAAGATGGCGCCACCTGTCGAACCACACTTCATTGCCGGGTGTTTGCACACCGCAAACAAACGTAGCGCGCAATGGTTTGAGGAACTAGCTTATGGCACCTTTTTCACTGTCATCTTGACAACAGTATTCTCGACGCCATCTCGATATATTAACGCGTGACGTCCCGTTCAAACGGTGCAGGAAAATTACTCTTTTATTGCTCGTCGTGAACGCGAGAGACCCGTATTGCTGGTTGCAAGTTTTTAGTCTGTAAGTTCGCTTCTCCCGAAGCGTGGTTGCGCTGCGGTGAAGATACATTCGCGGTAACGCTGCCGCCAGTGCCGTATGAGCAGCCGGGCACCGCGCGTAGAAAAAAGCGAGCGTGCTGAAATCGCACGAATTTTGGAACACGGAAAAAATAGTTCCTCACCATTCGTTGAAGAACGAACCCAAGGACCAGTGTTTATCACAGAGTGATCATAGATATGTCATTAACTAAACCATATCTTGTTTCTCGGAGATATCGGTAAACGGTTTTCCCACGCTCCCCAAAGTCCGTGCGATTTTCGGTTGTTTTTTTGCGCCTGTGTTGCAGACTGTACTCTGCTTGTTGCATCGCGCACGATAAGCTTTAAGCCTCGTCTCCGTATTATCGGAACTTGTTTTATCGTGCGAATCAAGATATGACCATCCATTTCCACCTACATTCCAATGCTCCGTTTCACCAAATGATGGACTGGCAAAGGACACCACGAGCCATCGAAAACCCATTGCAGTGCAACTGTCACGTGATGATCATGTTCGGTAGGGACGCGTAGTCACGTGACATGTTCCCAGCGCTGGATTGGCTGGGATGGCTCGTAGCGTCCGCTGTGAACCACCATAAGCGGCCACGCCAAGTGTTTACACACACCCCAAACATGATTCTTGAAACTCGGGTCAAACCTGATTTTCCCCCCAAATTCGGAAATTGAATTCTATCATTTTCCAAAATTGCTTCGGTCCCAAATGGTTTTCTCGCAAAAAAATAAGGTTGGTACGAGCACGTGTGTTAGCTCCAGAAAAAACACGAACGTGGATTCTGTAGATTTCAGTGAAATGCAATGGCATAGATGAATGCCCAAAATATCGCTTTTATATCCGGTGCAGTGACGTCATAAAGATGAAGGGAGGGAGGAAAGCGGGCTGAAAGGCGGAGACGCCGACGACGAACGCGTTCGTGACCTCCTCGCAGCTCGAATTGCAAATGCAGACCATAAACCATGTGACCCAATCGATTAGTTGGAAAGTCTCAGTAATAAAGACTCTCTAGGCGTGGGAATGGCGGGAGCGTCATCACGTGGCGATCCATCGACGACTGATTGATCCAAGGAGCACGTAGCTTCCATTCAGTGGCGTAGCCAGGGGGGAGGCTTATTGAGCTTCAGCCCCCGCCCCCCCCCCCCTCCCCCCCCCCCCTCCCCCCCGGGCCCGTAAATATTCCTGGATACACAGCTGCTTCCACTGCTCGTGCCTCCCCCCCCCCCCCCCCCCCTCTCCCTTCCTGGCCGCTGGTCTACTTCCCAACGGCTAGAACCCTGCACAAGCAATATATTTTTCTCTCAGCGGGTTGGCGCGGGTTTGCCTATGGACATTGGAACGGACATTTTGTCTCGTAACTATTTGACGGGCCTGTTTATGTCCGCTCCGTTTTCCTTTCAGGCTTTCAAAATTTGGATCTCGGGCCAGTGACAGGTCAAAAATTCAGTGACATATTCCCCTCAAACAAATTAATATGTACTGCCGGAATATTATCTCTGAACGAACAACTGAAAAATGCCAACATCAACTGAAGCAAAAAAAAAAAAAAAAAGAACACCTTTGGAGTACACTTTTTTTATTTCCCTCCCCTTTTTATTTTTTTTTAAGAAAATGAAGTCTATGCCGCTGGCACCTAGAAGACAAGGCCTGCGTAAGACGTCATCGGTTCATCCCCGACCCACTCCAAGCGGCACACGCACTGAATGAAGCTCCATCGACGAGAGTCGCCGCGAAGCGATAGCCGCGTCTCCCCTTCGTGGCGACGCCGCACTCTACAGCGTCGCTCTTGTTGTGAGACTCTGCAGGCGGGGTCGGGTGCAGGTGTTTCCAGAGGGGAGGGGATGAGGACGCAGGCCTAGTTGGCCTCGTCTTCTAAGCGGTATTACGCCAAGATGCACGCGTCCGCCGCGATGTCGCGTACTCTCGTCCAGATGCAGCCTGTTTTCCGCTTGGGTGCTGTGGTCGGGGGTCCAGCAGCTATGACGTAATGAGCGAGCCTTGTCTTCTCGAGTGTACCGCTAGTCCGCGAAGCGCAGGAAGGAAGTGGCTGGCGTGGAGGCAATTTTTAATGGAGTCCCGGGATCGGCATTCGCGTTCAGCGCGTCGTCGGCAAGCGCGTTCAGCGCTGCTTGGCCCTCGTTCCGGCGGGCTGGTCGGGCAGCAAGATGCGCAACTCAGCGTTGGCCTGGCACCAGCGGCTGCTGCTCTCCCAAGCCATCCTGCGAAGGAACCGCTTGGAATGACACTGCTCTGTTTACCCAAGACCGCTTAAAAAGACGAGGCCTTCCCCAGCCCTCATCACTATACACTCAATGACACCGTACAAAGCGCTACGCGATTCCTGAGCGTTTTATTATACGGAGCAAAAGTTCGTCTGCTTCTCTTGCAGGGGCTGTGGTGATGTCGGAACGCCGAGCTCCGATTGGCTTTTATTGTAGGATAGTGGGTAGACCTGAAGGCAGCTTGCTTCGAGGTCTACCCACGATCCTTCAATCAGAGCCAATCAGACCTCGGCGTCTTTCTGACGTCACCACAACCCCAGCAAAAGAAGCAGACGAACTTTTGCTCCGCATTGTTCCGCGTCCAATGAGGTCGTGGCGTTAGTCGATATGAAGGCCGAAGAACGGTTGACCAAGTGTTTCAACCAGCGTAAACATATAGGTTAAGCCACAACGCTTATGCCTTGCGTCAGCGTCGCCGCCAGCACGCCTTGATAGCGTCTCACAACGAGCGCGACACCAATTCTGAGCTTCAGCGTGTTTGCCGATGGGTAGGGGGGATCCACTAAAGACGACCTTATGCGCAGGCCTTGCCCTTTTAGGTGGCATTGGTTTACGGCGTCTTCAGAAATGCGGTCCCTCGATTTCTCTTTGATGACATCATGCTGCCGCGGTCCTGGCGGCGGCACAGCAGCTGAATGCGGCTAGCGCCTGTTCTGCTGCAGGTCGCTCTTCTGCAGCCAGAATGTCGACGCAAGCCAATGCACAGATCCATTATTTCTACATGCCTAACGAAGAGTTCTAGGTTTTTGTGCGAACGGTGCTCACATCGATTGCAATAAATAGCTAGCGCTATCCATTTCGATCAGTTAGAGTAGCTATGTGCTTCGCTCAGCTGTTCTATGAACAGTAGCAGGTGGAATACGAACGAGCAGCGTGATACAAACCCTACAAAGTATTTAAAAACATAATTTTACATCAAATACAGACCAAAGACGCCATCAGTACTCCTAATAGGGTAATTTAGACATCTACAAAATTACCGCTGTGTGGTTGTTCAATAAATAAATAGATATCTGTAGTGGTCAGGTCCGCTGTAGACATGGAACTTTAAAAAGTCTCCCAACACTCCATCAACTGCAGTTTTTTTCCACGGGATAACTTTCAAAGAGATTGAATAAAAGTTTATAACATGAAAGCTGAAAATTGTCTGCTCTAAAAGTGGGAATCTCTGCTCCAAAACCCGTTTTCCCCGCTACAAAAGCTGCTCCAAACCATCACTTCTCAGTTCCACCACTGTGCTGACGTTACTGTTATGGGACGATAGTTACCTATGTCAGCTTTGTCCCCCTTGCCCTTGTATATTAAACTCATTCTGCTTAGCCTCCATTATTCCGGGGCAGTTCCCTTCATGATAATGCTACTTACTGCTTTCCTTAAAAGGCCTCAAACACGCCAAAAAAAAAAAAAAAATTTTTTTTTCATTTCAGGCGTTGAAATGGCGTGTCAGGACATTACAAAAAAATTGTTTCACTATAGAGGTGCGTAGTTTTTTTTTATAAAAAATAGAAATAGGAGGGCCCGATTCAAAGTTCCCGCCAGTGCACTGTGACGTAACAGTGTACCGCAAGGTGTCGGGGCGGTCAGAAGGGAGGCATCGACATACGTCACTAAAAGTGGGTTCTCCTCGTGCTCTCCGCGACCGTGCCTACGACTTTTTTTTTTTTTTTTCTGCTCTTTGTACGAGCGAGCGTAGAAAACGAAGTTTAAGTTCCACTAGCTCTTTATCGCTGCACCGTTGGTTAGTTTGCGTGCTGTAAAAGTTGAGGACGAAGAGTCAGTGGATCGACGTGATGGAGGTCAATGATGAAAGCGTTGCGAGTACAAGCCAGTGTAAGAGCACATGCCATCAGTCCGATGATACAGAGCCATACTGGGCACAAAAAAAGCTATCAAGTTTTGAGAAAAAATTTTTAGAACGCTCGCAGAAATTAGGATTGCTTGCGTACGACTCGTCCAATTGCATTGCTGAAGCTTCGGACACCGAGGTCGTCGAATCATCGTATACTCTCCAGGCTGAAGATGCCTACCGTCTCTCGGAAATGCATGCAGTGTGATCTCTTCTTCAGTTGCTGAAATACCGGGACAGTCCCTCACACAGCACCTTTTAGGCATTGTAGTTGATCACCTCAATTCATTGACTCCTCTTCTTCTACCTTTACAGCTACATTAAGCGATGAAAAGCAAATAAAAGAAACCTTGTCTGTTTGGATATCGCTCGTGGAGGTGCGGAGAATAACAAAAATATTAAAAAAAATATTACACGCGCTCGCGGTAAGCACGAGGAGGAATACAACTCACGTGACTTCCGGCGATGCCTCCCTTCTGACCGCCCCGACACCTTGCGGTACACAGTTACGTCACAGTACACTGGCGGGAACTTTGAATTGGGCCTCGTATTTCTATTTTTTATAAAAAACTACGCACCTCTATAGTGGAACAATTTTTTTGTATGTCCTGACATGCCATTTCAACGCCTAGCATGAAAAAAAAAAAATTTTTTTTGGCGTGTCAGAGGTTTTTTAACGCTTCCTCAGATTTTGGTTCTAACTGTTTTAAGACCCCAGGCTAGCGGTTGTACTGCACTGGCTAAATTGCTCATCTACAGCTGGGAGACTCGTCGCCCCTGTGAGGCAGACCAAGTTCTAGGCTGTAAAAACATACCACACAACCCCCCCCCCCCCCCCCCAATCAACTTAATTGGTATACCATCTGCACCTGCTGAAATACCCCTTGGAACTCTCCATTCTGCCCTTTCCAATTCTTTTTGTCCGATAGCCTCAACATCAGTACTTGAACTATCCTCCACTGGTGAGGCGTTTCGTATGTGTCCCTGCTGCTTGAACTTCTCTGTCATTACTGTTCCTACATATTCCATTGCCTCGTCTCCTTCAAGCTGATTACCCGCAGACATGACAATATACTTCTGCTCAAGCTTTGTTTTATGACCTCGCGAAATCAAGTGGTTCCAAAACTTCAAAGTTGCCTTTCTATTTTTTTTTTTTGTTTACTTTAGACAGCCATTGCGTCCCCTTTCTCTGAATTTATTCATTAATCACACAGAATGCCACCCGTATACTTTTATAGAATCTATCTCACTTTTTGTTTACCTCACTTTCTGGTTCCCCATTGCACTAAGAATATCTGTGCTCTCTGGAAGTTTCTTGGCATTTCCCTGTTGCCTTCTTTACGTCATCATCCCACCAGCTCTTAGGCTTGCGTCATCGTTTCCCCCTTTTTTATTACATAGTTTAGACTGCTCTTGTTCGAATAGCTTAGTTAGCTTTGTGTAACTCAAATTCGTTTGAGTATCCCCAGGAATTATTTTCTCTGTTTTTCTTAGCGAGTATTTCCAACTGCTTGCCTGTAAAGAATGGTTAGTCTGGTTGTTGTTTGTCTTGCTTTGTCCCTGCGTTTCCTTCCCTAGTAAAGCTCAGCTTAATTCGTTTGTGATCGCTTCTGAGGCTTCTTGAACCCTCTTCATCTATTTTTATTGTCTCTAGCCTGCTATACATTCTATTTGACATCAGTGCATAATCTATTGTAGAATGTAAACTACCTGTTTCCCATATTACTAGCCCGTCGCACTTCTCACCGGTATTGCATAAACATAGGTCGTGTCTCTGACACATCTCCAGTAGCATGTTTCCTGTTGAATCTTTGTACCCATCCAGGTTCTTCTTAATTCATGTCCTCCAGGATAATTACTTCGTGATGTTCTCCTAGTTCAATATTGTCTTTTGAAATACATTGTGCCATTTTACTGTTCCCCTCTTTAGCATTTACTCCTGTCCAGAAGTACACAAATCCCAGAAGGACCCGTTTCCCTGCTAAAGCCCCTTTTAACTATAAATATTCCGTGCATTCTTCTCTTACTCTATTCTAATTTGCATTAAAAAAAAACAAAAAAAAACGTTTCAATCCCGTTTTTTTTTTTTTTTTTTCTGCTGCCCTCCGTTTCATTGCATTGTTCCCATACGTAATCAGTATTGCAAGGGGGTTGCTCCGCGTCTTTAAGATGCGTTTCAACTAACCCATATGCCATTAAAACAAACAGTCTTAGTTGCTATTTTATCTCCTCCCATTTTAACCTGTTCTAAACCTTCCTGCATGTTTACCTATACTATATCTGCTCTACCCATGCCTGTAATCTCTCCTTGATAATCTGCATTGCCAACCTCTTACAGGTTCTATGTCACTTACTCTGACACTTCTCCTAGTTCAACTTCATCTACACCGGCGCCCTCGGGGTTCGGGGACTCCTCAAGAAACGTACGACATGACGTCCAATCCTATCCCCTATCGTGCTACTTGTCGCTTCACTGTAGTGGATACCCCATGCTAAAGGGTCCGAGCGAGCCTCATACACCACCCTGTTTACTTCCAACACGCCTTGCTGAAGTCGTTGGCACATACTCCTAATCACACAACACAGTTAGGTCGCACCACCGGCTGCTCTGTCTGAAAAGACTGTCCCCAGACCTCTGGGTTTGCGCATATTTGAACATGCACCCTCTCAAAGACCTCCCTCAGCTTAAAGGACAACTCCGCTCCATTTTTGTTTTGGAAAAAAAAAAATGCAGTCCTCTTTAGTATTACGTACGAAGACCACGCGTCAGATATTACGACGTAGATAAGTCTAAAGGTTTCTTAAACGGTCCGGCAAACTTTGCAACTCGCCAAGTTTCCGATATCGGCTGTCTCAAGCGGGCGGATTGAGGCGCAACCAACAGCGCAGTCAAGGCTACGGCGTGGGCGAAGCCAACATTGAGCTAAACGTCATCACCGTTGCCCCCTTTTGTTTGGTTTTACTTCTCCGGGAAAGCGTAACGGGTGACGTCGGGAACGTTTTCTGTCGGCGCTCAGCGGTGTCCACGTGATAGGCGTACGCGCCTGAGTAGCGGCCTTCTTGGGAGCAGTCCGGCCGCCCCGCCGTGGTCCGGCCGTAATCGCCGCCTCCCGCGTCACAACCACCGTCGTTGCCTCACCGTTTGTGATTATTGTCTCTCTGAGTTTCGTCCACACTACGGACACCACGTGAGCAGACTTATCCCGCAGTTGTGCAGACGTCGTCGAATGTCGCAGACACCGAAACGTGGCGAAGAGTGCGGTGCAGACGACACTTGCGCCTGGTACGCGCTCGCCCCAATCCCGGCCGTCGTTGCGTAGAGGATCACGTGACATCTCGAACCACGTGATAGCCATGTTCTTGGCGGCCCGAGGCCAATGTTGCCGGAAGGAGCCGAAGTTTCGGTTGCGATTTCTGCTCGTGTTTAAATTAGATCTAAAAAGTGAAAGACGTTTACGATTCCCTTTAATGCCGAATTAGAGCGCAGCTCTTGAGGAGGAGGAGGGGAGGGTATGCTCCTCCCCCCTCCCCCTCCTCCTTTCCTGCTCTCCTTCCATTTAGCGGGAAATCTTCGCTAAATTTCCCGGCTAAATTTAGCCGAGACAACTTGTAGACATGGAATCAGACGCCGCGATCAGCGACCCTTGCATCCGCTTGCCTCCTTTTTCGTCAGCATATATGTGTAAGACCAACAGCCGGGATCTCGACATTCGACTGCGTGCCGCGGCGGCTCCTGTGACGCAATTTGTTGCAACTTGGGGACCGCTGTGAGCTCATTTTTTTCACACCTCTTTCTTCACAATAAATGCATTCATATGCGCGACTATCGTAAACAAAAACAAAAATTAAGAACGTAAAAAATTATTATTTAAGCAACGACAGATGGAGGCATCCTACCTTCATCCCTTTACCAAAGCAAATTACAAGCTGAACCGGAGTTCCATGGGGCAGTCGGTCTAGCATGCCGGAGGCACGCGCTACTCGAATGGCACTCGGCAAAGCCAGCTCAGTGTGCGAGGCCGTCCGGTTGCTAGGCAGAAAAGCAAGAGACCCACCGGAAGGCGACGAAGGGGAAGACGGCCCAGAGCGCTGCCTGCGCGGCCAGGGCGGCCCCGTTCAGGGCCCGGTAGCCCCAGGGCAGCGGGGCGCGGACGCCGAGCAGCCAGGCGAGCGCGAACACGTGCACCAGGCTCAGGCTGAACAGAAAGCCCAGCAGCGCGTACAGCAGGGGCTCCCGTCGGCCCTCGGGGTGCCGCAGCAGCTCGCACACGGTCTGCGTGGTGGGATGGGCCGTACTTGAACTACTTTGAGTATCTCGTATTTAATTATATATTAGCTCATGTTTTTTTGTCAATTATGTTTATGAATACTTGGAAATTTAATATTTCAAATTTTTGTATTTCAAATACCGCACTAACACAATTTTGGGCGTTGTACTTCGCAATGAAATGCGATAGTATGCACTTTTCGCGATGGCGGTCATATGCAAAGAGTCTTAAACATGTTGTGATTTGCTCGTAATAAACATGGAAGAAAACCAGGAAGCGTAGTACAGTGATTGAATGGGGTGGGGGTACAATAATGACTTTTTGGTTGACTGATCTAAATTTTGAAACGTCGCATTCAGCGGAATGTTGAATGCTTCGACGGAACATTTGAAATGAAACTCATACTTTGCGTTTTCTGGAGTTGTGCCCGGCTATCTTATGACAGACAAATTATATTTTGAGCGCTGCAACTTTCTTTTAAGCGACTGATTCTTGATATAGACTCCACTATTTAGTTAGGCACGGTCTTCTTTTTAGAGCGCAGGTCTTAAGTGCCCGTTTCCGCATTTCGCGGCGTCGCCGTCGGCGTAACCGCGCCGCTAAATTTAACGGGAAATTGAATTGGTTTTGAAGTCACGTGACGTCAATTCCCCGCTAAATTTACCAGGAAAATTGACGTCACCTGACCTCAACATCAATTCAGTTTCCTCGCTAAATTTAGCGGGGAAAATGACGTCTCATGACTTGGCGTCACGTCACCCATGAATAAATTCAGCGGGAGGAGGGAAGAGGAGGAGGGAGGAGGAGAAGGAGGAAAAAAGGAGGGGAGGTTACGGAGGGACGTACCCTCTCATCCGCACCCTCCCCTCTTCCTCAAGAGCTGCGCTTAAGTTTCGCATAACAGAGATTTGTAAACGTGTTTTACCAGGGTTTCAGTCTAAGGTGTCAGGCTATGGGAACAAAAATCATTTGTAGAAGTCTCCAAACTGCAGTGAGTAAAGAAGAATTGAAGATGATTAAGTACTGTTTTTATAAATACTTTTCTAGAAAAATATGTAATTGGTATTGATAATTTAAGACATATTTGTCGAAGTATTGTGCGTTTGTATTTGGATACATTTTTGCGACAATTTTGTCCATCCCTGGAGCAACCGGTCCCCTGAGCGATAGTCGGCGGGTGAAGTGAGCTTCCCAGGCAGTTGGGGCACGGCGGGCTCAGCCTTAAAGGAGCTGTGCAACGATATTCAATTGGAATGTTTTTCTCTCTGCACGAGCTTACTGGCACACCTGGGACTCAAGGATACTCACACGCGACGCCATTGGCCAAGAAACTCCTTTGTTGCGGTGTAATTTCAAGGACAAAAGCGCTCATTTTCATTCAATCTCTCCTTTGCAAACTCTGATGACGTAACTCGGGGATCGCAGTACACCCAAGTGACGGTATTTGAATGCGGTTCATAGATTGGACTCGAGCATTGCGTGGGCACTCGACTTGGGCTCGTGACAATTGCTAGCTCGAGAAGCATTCGGGTTGTGACCCGTGTCCAATCGCTGCAACGACGACAACAGCCGAGCCATAACAATGTCTGGAACTCAGCGCGTGTCCTGCGCTTTGCCGACCCCAGCGCGTGGCTATGATCAACAATGGCGGCATATAATCGGCTCCAGATCACGTGGCCCCTTGTTCTGGCTGCGAGTTGAGGGAATAAACGCTGCTCGTTTTTCTTTAATTTTTTTCTGGGACTTCTATTGCGTGAAGCGAAAAACGAACGCGTGTTTCACAGGTCATTAACGTTAGGGATCCGTTTTAAGCGGTATTTGTGCACAGTACAAAAATTGTTCCACAGCTCTTTTAAGGATAATCAAAGCCTGTGTCCCAAACTTTTGACGTCATCAGATTGGGATCAACTGAGGACACGGATTGGATACGAGTGCTGCGTCAGCTTTCGGCTGAGCCTCGTGTCCTATCAGCGCGTCGCAAGGACGCTGGGCATCGGGCTTGGGTCCAATTGCTGACTGGGCGCCATCCGACTATGAAGGAAGAGAAGGTTGTTTGCAGGCTTCGTTACACTAGGCGGTGTCGGCTCCGCATGCAATACATGACTTGCGTTAAAGGGTATCGCAAAGGAACGAGGAAAACCAAATGCTGGTTCGGAGGGAGTGCCTATCAGTGTCAAACACGAGCGTTCAGTGACGACATTGGCCTTGAGCGTCGGACAATGAGTACACAGAATTCTACAGGTAGGACTGGCTGAATTGGTGCACGACACCCCTTGTGATCCTTTCAAGCGCTCAATTCTCACTCAGTTGTTTGCTTGGAATACCCGTAAATCGGTGGGGCGTTCACATCCTCATAACCGGATGCACGTTCCTGTCGTTTCGGTTATCTACTGGATCAGACAAATGACGTCATCATCAAAAGAACATCGGCTCAACATTTTTAGCTCTTTCATCTATTATGTTCAAAATACGTCAGATTAGGGTGCCTTCATGTGCGCTTTGCTACCCTACATCAGATTTCTTCAATACATTTTTTTATGTGTTGCTAGAGTCACACACACTAAATCGAGTGAGCACGACGCAAATTAAAAACAAAACAAAACAAAACAACGTTCACACGCTATGTGTGAACGTTGTTTCCAACAACGTTCACACATAGCGTGAACGTTGTTGGAAACTCCGCGATGCTCCCATCACCCCATGGTTCCCCTCGGGAAGATGGTGTAATTTTTTTAACGTGCATCACGCAGTAGTGATTACACGAACGCGTGCCGGTACGAAACTCATCCAGATCGAAACGGGCGGGGGCGACGGGGATCGAACCCAGGAGGTTCCCAGCGCAAGCTTTCGCTCCACGCTCCGAGCTGAAACGCGTTAGCCCACTTGGCCAATTCGTCCCCCCTGAACGCGCGCAGCGCGCTACCGCTGCTTATATTCACACTTGAAGGAGAGGAGACTAGAGGAGGAGAGTTGCGCATGCGCGCGCGGTGTGAGTAGAAGCGAACGCACGCGAAGTGCACGCAGCTGGTAGAGAGAGAGAGCGGAGAGAGTAACGCGCAGCTGTTTGAGAGAGGGAAGGAGGAGAGTTGCGCATGCGTAGTGTGAGTGCGGACTACGACGCCGCGGGACATAGGCCCGAGCAAGAGATGCTCCGCATCTAAAATGGACAGAAACGCACGCAGGGCCCGTTTAAGGTCGCACCAGCAGTCATTGTAGTGTAGTCTTGCTGCAGAGCGGTGTACTTTCTGCTGCATGCACCTTTGCACCACCGAATTTCTTTTTCTCGGCGAGAACAAATAGGAATGGTCACCAGCATGGTGCAGCCACGTCACATGCAAGCCATGTATAGACGATTGCAAGCAGGGCATCTGGCCGCCGCCATGTCTCTGCACGTGCGGGCTAGCACATGCAATCGCAAGGTTGTCAGGGCCACATTCGCGGCATCAGTCGGGGCGCTAAGCTTGAAGTTCTCTATATGTCTCTAAATGGCTTGCATGTGAGGTGTATATAGGTGGCTTGCATTGGCGTCATATGACTTATCAGCGGCCACCCTGCTAGCCTCGCTACAGGACGCGTACGTCGTGCGCCATACATACTCTCCTGAGCTAAAATAAATATATATAAAAATAAATAAAGCTCGTTTCCCTCGGCAAGAGCAAGGCTCCCAGCAGGGTGCTGGACGTCACGTGCAAGCCATGTGTACGTCACTTGTCCCCTCTGGAAGGTTCCTTTGTGATGTTGCCCTTCAAGGCCCGTGCACTGACCCTGGCCTCCCTGCGGATTGGGTAGTTGTAGTGGCAGATGCTGCACTCCTCTTCTCGGCGCTCGGACACCCACCGCTCCATGCAGGGCTTGTGCGCGAAGCCGATGCTCCCTGTAAAGCCACACCAGCACTCTGTGTCTACACGCGCAGGGCCCCCACCCCGTGCCCCGGGTCGGCTTACCCCTGCAGAGGCAGGGCTGAACTAGCGAGCCGTAGCTTTGGCCCTGGAAGCAGACGCGGCAGATGTCCTCCGCCGACCCGGAGGCCATGGCCTCCTCTTCTTCCTCCTCCTGGCCGTCATTAGGACGCGGATGCTCACGCTAGGGGGACGAGGGACGTCGATCAAATTCACGCTTTTTTACGAGTACCGCCAACCATTGTTCTGTGAACGCGGAAGACACGTGCCACGACCGGGTGCCGTCAATTCCGCAAGGACGAGGGCACGAGATCTTGAGATTGAAACATTCTTCCGCAGAACGAGAGAACGCGCTAGGAAGGAACTTCTCAAAGCCAGGAGCGTGGACGAGCGCACATGAAGGCACCCTAGCGTGGACTAGCTCGCCCAGCCTTGGGTATTCGCCTCGAGTCCCAGTTTGCAGAACCCAGGGATTCTGGGTTCGAGCCCCACTTCTGCCAGTTTCGATCTGGATGAGCATCGTACCGGCGTGCGGTCGTGTACCACTACTGCGTGGTGCATGTTAAAGACCCCAGGCTAGCGGTTGTACTGCACTGGCTAAATTGCTCATCTGCAGCGTGTGACTCGTCGCAACTTTAAATGGCTGACCAACTACACACTGTATAAATATCCCCACAACCCAATTTGTTAGTCCCAGTTTGAACTTAATGGAAGCGTGCTCTTGTTTATCCATGGTTCTCTATGAGGCACGTGGTGATTCCCTCTATCTGCAGCGCGGGTAGATACAGATCATCCACACCAGAGCCGTGTATACAGAGAGTTTGGTCAATGGGAGGCGCGGGCAGAGCCAGGGCGTGCACCGGGCGCAGAAAGTGGGCTTGGCAAGCTCTCTTGGCCAACCAGAAGCCTAAAAGAATCCCCTAGCGGTGGTAGCGAGAAACTGTATTGATCAAAAGTATAATGTTCGTATATGGCTTTAATAAGCGCGTAAGAGTAAAGTGCAGTAACCCTTCGTGGTTGAAAAAAGGGTGCACGTGATGTTTCGATCATGATCACGCAGAAAGATGTAAGAAGCGAATGCGCCGCTCAACTCTGTTTTGCTCGAACAGAGCTTGACCGCTCGGACAGCAGATTCCCGGCCCTCGGAGCTTGCCGTACGGACTATGTCGATCGTTCCGCTAGTCGCACTCTTGCACCATGATTTTGGATGACCGTGATTGAAATATCACGGGCACCATATTTTCGGTCACCGAAAGTTACTCCGATGCACTTATCAAGTTTGTTTCTCGCGATTACCGCCAGGGTATTATTTTTGGCTTCTGGTTGGCCACATTCGAATTTGTGAAGACGTCCTGGAACACGCCCAGCATGCTTTCGGCCAATGGCGCCTCCTCATTTGTCTCCTATACTTCCCAACGAATGGAAAACTCTATACATATACGGCTCCGATCCACACTAACCGCCCATTCACACTGGAAGCGGATCCGCGTTCGCAAAGCGGTTGCGAACGCGGATCCGCTGCCAGTGTGAATGAGCGGTAACGGCACAGAGCACGGGCAAGGGTACACAGAGAACGAGCTCCCAGCAGTTAATTCCTGTGCACAAGCGCTGCATTGGCGCCTTTTAGGACCACTAAATCAGCTACGCTCATTTAGTGACTTTAGCGCCTCCCATGGCTTCGGCAGGCGTCCGTAGCATTCGTTTTGTTTCAAGTAAGCGTAAAACAAAGAGTAGTTCTGATTTTTACCACATGAGCCGTGCCTATCGAATCTCGAGGCGAATAGGGCCGCCTATTTCAGTGCTTTGCTGCCATTTGTTTCCAAGGGTTTCACGAGGCATGCGCATCGTGCATTGGTGCATTTGACGCTACTTGACAGGACATCAAGTAAGGCGAGACAAGACAAACACATCAAGGGGCTTTAAGTGTGCCTGGATTTCAGAGTGTCGTTTATGGGCCACGTTTGCAATATGAGCTGCGAAGAGGGGAGGAAAGCGTTGATCGTCTGCAAGCGTCGCTGCCTTTCCGCCCGCTCTCCTCTTTTCTACGCGACAAAGCAACGCAGACGCAATAGCGATTAATCTAGCCAGGAGGCGTCCGCCATTACATTGCAAACGCTCTCGGTGGTCTGAGCTGCCCCCTCTCTTAGGTCTAGGCTCTCTATACTAACGTATACATGTCTCGCACTGACCTCACATCACCTTCCATTCGTAAGAATAAGTAGGAATGACCACCAGCATAATATGATGACGTCACGTTCAAGCCACGTGACGCCATGACTTGCAAATGACGTCACATACCTAGGGCAGTGAACACGAGGCCGAGTCCCGACTGTTGCCGCGGGACCCGACTGTCAAGGCTGCATGGTTCACATATTTGCGCTGGAGTGTAAAGGCCCGTTCACACGCTTATGTTTGCTCACGACCGAGTTCTTGTGATCTCTGACTACGGGAGAACACACTAACCCGTTGGCGCCAGCTACGAGGTGGCCCTGGAACTGCATTTTACTATAAAGCGAAGTTTTTTGCAGTATTTCCGAGATCAGATGTATACTCATACTATTAATAAAAAATGGTTATTTATAATATGAAAACCAAAAATCATAATATGCGAACGGAAAAGGAGACATGGGACACACAAAAACACGTCAGACGCGGAAAGCGTTGTCGCTGTCCGCGTCTAACGTGTTTCTGTGTGACCCTCGTCTCCTTTCGCGGTCGGATACCAAGATTTTTAACTAACACGCTCTCCTAATTCGATCTATAAAGATTTAAAAAAAGAAAAAAAAAAAAAGGTTTTCGAGCAAAAAAGTTTGATGCGCGGAAAAGGCAGGCAATAGACGGAAATGCCAAGTGTTCTACGGCTACCCGCTAGATGGCGCCAGTGTGTTATCTCGTCGTAAGAGGTCCCAAGAGGTTTTAAGGCACTCAGTCGTAAGCGGTCGCAAGTGCTCTGCGCTCGCCTGCAACCGCTGACGACGAGAGAAACACACTGGCCCTCTGGCGCCATCTCGAGAGCCGACGTGGGACAGCCCCGTCGCTTGGATCACTCCTGGTATGCTCCGCCGACGGCCGACCGCCCCCCTGGACCTGGAAGGCGCTGCGTCGCACTTGCCAACAGCAGAGACGCCTTCCTTTTGTTTTCCGTCCGGTTTTATGACACGCTGCCGCGCCGAGGCCGACGGTTCGCCCGCACAAGTAGATAAGGCCTCGCGCAAACTTGCCGCCCAACGGGCCGGCACCCGTTGCTTCAGCAGTTGGCAATCTCTACGCTTTTGAAACTGTAACGAAACGACGGACTGACGCCAGTGGTGTAACCAGGATTTTGTTTTTCGAGAGGGAGGGGGGAAGACGAGGGGTGGAAGGAGGTTGGCTATGTAGCTGGACATGACGAGTGGGATAGAGCTGGACCATTTCCGGGGGGAAGTTCGCACCTCTCTGCTTATGCCCGCTAAAAACTCCAGGCTAACGGTCGTACTGCACCGCGGTTAAATCGCCCACCCACAAAGTGAGACGAGCTGCCAAACTTGGAGGGCTGAGTAGTTCACGCTGACCGAGCATTCATCATCATATCGTCCCGGGAAGTGATGTTTGTCTTGCATTCCCTACCGAAACACCCAGTGTAACTTATCACTATCTGGATTATAGAACTGGAAATCAAACTGGAATGGAGCTTTGCGCAATCTGCGGACGAAGTTGCCTTTGAATTAAAAATGAAGAGCAGCCCGACCTGACTCCGCCCGTCAGAATACATTGGCATCGTGCTGCATGTTGTATTGATCTTTGCTGCTTTTTATGCCCCATGCTAGCGTACACTCAAACAAGAATGGCCAGAAAAGTCGAAATACGCGCAAAGATAGGTGCTGAATATATTTGGTCGACCGGAACTTTGTCCCACAAAAATAGCGACAGCGGGAAGCAAGGCCAGAAGAGCGGCTGCACGCACGCGCAGAAGCTTACTGGGAAAAGGTTCATTTGTTTCTGGAAACCTGAAATTCAGATTGCAGACAAAGAAATAATTTCTGAAAACCTGGAATCCAGATAAAATCCAGATCTATATTTTCAGTTCCATAATCCAGATAACGAAAGGTTATTCTAGGTTTTCAGGTAAGGCTGTGATCCTTCAAACGTTTTCAAAACCTGGCAATAAAAAGTAATAAAAAAAAAAAAGGATCGCTGGCCGAGTGCATTGGCCAACGTATTAGCGCACCCAAGCTCGGAGCACGTGGAGCGAAAGCTCGCTCTGCAGAACCCAGGTATCCTGGGCCTCAACCCCTGTCCGTTTCGATCTGCATGAGCATCGTACCGGAGTGACATCGTCCCGGGCTAGCTGCTGCACCGGCCAAATTTCTCATCCACAGAGGAGACACCAGGAGCCCATGGGCCAGGGTGGAGAATAAAAATCGAGATTATAGTAAATCACGATTTAGAGACCATGATTCAAATCGTGATTTTCTGATTTTTAATTGTGATTTCAATTATGACAGCGATTTAGAGCGCAGCTCTTAGGCGCCCGTTTCCGGCTTGAGCGGCGTCGCCGTCGGCGTAGCGGCGCGTTGCATTATGGGACGATTCCCATAAAGACGTCACGTTTGACGTCACGAGGGAGGAGGAGAAGGAGGGAAGCTTTTTCACTAAATTTATCGGAAAATTTTTCCCGTTAAATTTAGCTGAAAAATTTCCTGGTTACATTTAGCGGGGAATTTTTTCCGCAGACTTTAGCGGGAAATGTAGCGAAAATTTTCCGCTAAATGGGAGGGGGTAGGAGAGGAGGAGGGAAGGAGGGCCGTACTCTCCCCTGCATACCCTCCCCTCCTCCTCCTCTTGAGCTGCGCTCTAATTCGGCATTACAGAGAGTTGTAAACGTCTTTAATTTTTTTCCAATCATGATCTAAATCAAACCTTACGCGCACAAATAATCCGCGAAATGTCTTACAGTTTGTTTATCATCTGATATTTTATGTGCATTTGTAGCACATTCAAACAATATAATCATCGAGCACGATCTATCTGAAAATGAGTCAAAAGCGGTGCTCTTCTGGGCGAATCGAAGTGTTCATCGAGTTTCCTTTCTATCTTCCACTTCGTTTTCCAGTTACCTAATGCCCCATTGCAAGAAAATCAGAAAGCGAAAGT